TACTCTTTTACCAACGAATAGTGGAATTGACCGTCACATTATAACGCCCCCTCGTCTGAAAGGGCGAGCATGTTTGGGGGGACGGGGGTACTGCATAAAGTAAAGTAAGTTTTTAATTCTGTGGTACACCAATAAGCTATTTATCCGGTTTGAATACTTGAAGCTCTACTGATAATACAAGAGATTTAAGTTTTATTCATACAATCTTCATTAACAAAGAATATCTATATAAAACGTTTAGTTTTACCAGATATTTTTTACTACAGTTTATTTTAATCTACGAGATTATGCAATACGCTTTATTATATGATATTCTGCCATCATAATATTTAAACTGATAAACAGCATGACAAAGAATTAATATTCATGGAAAAAAAAAACCATTTTGACACCAGTAACATCACATACAACGTTCTAAACCATAAGTAATTAACCTTACGCTGTGTGCTTTCAACCGTCGTGTTTCATTTGCAACGCCACCTACTTTAAATGCAAGTTAGTGTAAATGACTATACCACGATTTTTTATTACATATTCCCGTCTCGGTAAGGGTAATTTATACAAAAAGATGAGGGTTGGTTGTAATTCATTAACGTTTGTAATTACCTGCTTTGCCTGTGTCTACGTACTTTAAACTTAATTAGAGACCATAAATGGTCACACAGCACAACTTGTTATGGTTGTTTGGCTATTTTAGTTGCTGCTAAGTACGTTCCCTTTAATAAGGACTTTTTGTCTGTTGCAGCTAATGCAAAATATTGTTTTACAATCGAGAAACACACACACAACGAATTTTGTGGAGTAGACATGATATATTCTTTTTCCCTAGGACGTATTCATATGCACTTTGGTATAGAAATATAAGAAAAAGGTTTGGGTTTTTGATTTAATCCCATTAGATGACAGAATTATCATAAGCTTAACTTATAGTTTTCATCAGGTAGAACAGTTTGGGGGAATTATTCTAATTAACACAAGTCCTATATTAAAAGTAGTTATTAGCTTCTTTAATTCTTACGTCTCAACGTTCTCTGTTATTACCAATAAGCCTGAGAAAAGGAAACTAATGCCCTATATTAATATGAGTCACTAAATAAATAATAAAACGCGTGAGGTTATTTAATATTCTGTACAGAAAATGACTAGTTTCTAATGGGCTTAAGTTAATTTAAATATATAAATAACCTATACTATAATTACAGCTTACATTAAATTTAGATATTAGTAGTTTGTAAATCATTTTGATTGTATTTAAAGCATCCTAAAAATGATCGTATCATATAGATATTAGTTACATGGAGCAAACACTCAATGTTTTTTCACAAATAGTTTATGCGTGTTACACTAGATGGCGATGCACAACAGGTGACATAGATGTTTCTATAATACGTATTTTGCCACGAGTAACGGCATGGTACCTAGAAAGAAAGGAAATTATATTATTAGATATATATATAATGATTCTTACAAAATGAAGATATCTATTTTTATCTTAACTTGTTTAAAAAAAGAACCTATCCATAACACCTTTCAATCCTCAATATGTTTAACAGAGGAAATATTCGTAACTCTATAATTTTTGTTCATTTTCAGTATAATGCAAAATGCCAACGATAAAATGATTAATGCGTCAATACTATTAACAGCGATTACGAATTTAATGAGAGTTTCCGTTTCTCATTAGTTGAAAATCTGAAGTAAATCTTTACGTATTCTTTTGTAGAGTCACTTTGTTAGTCCTACAAGACCTTCTCTACAAGTGTCACTCTCATCTAGGCAGTTGCTGCCCATTTCACCTTTGTTTGTAAATCTCTACGTATTGTTTTGTTAAGTCACTTTGTATGTTAGTCCTACAAGACCTTCTCTACAAGTGTCACTCTCATCTAGGCAGTTGCTGCCCATTTCACCTTTGTTTGTAAATCTCTACGTATTGTTTTGTAGAGTCACTTTGTATGTTAGTCCTCCAAGACCTTCTCTACAAGTGTCACTCTCATCTAGGCAGTTGCTACCCATTTCACCTTTGTTTGTAAATCTCTACGTATTGTTTTGTAGAGTAACTTTGTATGTTAGTCCTCCAAGACCTTCACTACAAGTGTCACTCTCATCTAGGCAGTTGCTACCCATTTCACCTTTGTTTTATAAATTTTCACACTTTATTTGTTAAAAAAAAAAAAAAAAGATCTATGATTACTAGAACATAACTTATGATAAGAAAAATTCACGATATTTTCAATAAAACGTAATCATTGTGAATAAATTAATGTATTTACTGACATATAATTTGGTTATATACAGACAATGACGAGAAAGGAACTTTGAAAAGTTGTTATTTTAGTCAGAACGTTCTTTACGTAGTTTTTTCGCGTGACGAGTAGTAAGTAGGAAGCACGTGACCGACAGGAAACAGCTTGGCCTATAATGTTAGGTAAGCGCTGTGTGACGAAAACGACAATATACGTTAAGAGGGGAAAAAGGGCAGATTTTTTTTCGTTGTTGTTACATAGATATGAGACAGAGTCAGGTTCTTTTGAAAGTCAAGTTATGACCTTATACCGATTTTCTTATTCCTGAATTAAAACAAAAAAGACACTGGATCAAAATGAGCCCTAACGAATAAATTCAGAATAAATAGAACGATGACATCACCTTTATCAGTGGTGCACTGTATTGTTTTTATTAGAAAATTCCTTGTACACAACAAGACAACTGACTAATCCTTTCACTGCGAAGTCACAAAATGCTATACAGGGAGTGTATTTATTTTACAAAATAAACTCGTATAAAATATATTGATTCAAAAAATAAAACCTACTTACATATAGGTAACTCTGAACTTACCGTGAAATAATCTCTTCGCTACGTACACCTTCTCACTAACCACACTAAACACACCAGGAAAGGAATCCAAAAACTTCCTATTCTAGGAGCGCCAGCTGGTGAACCATCACCTAAACAAAAATAACAATTTTCTGTTGGTATAATCGGAAAAGTCTTTGATAAACTTAATGGAAATTTCATTGCATAAAAAAAGAAACAATGTCTTCTTTATACGTCATTATTTCTGTGTTACAAGACTTTCTGTTCAGTAAACTTCTCGTACTTTCTTTTATAAAAATAAGCATTGAATATCTGTTTTTATATTTATTCTGTAAGATAATTAGCAACGGAGAAATTACAACGTATTTCAGAGAAAAGGCAAAAACGACAGTGTAAAGTAAGAATGTAATATGCTTGAGCTAAAGATACTTTGGCGTGACCAAAGGTGAAATTGGGATATTATAAATACACGAGCTAAGGTTAATAATGATTAATAGAAAGAGTATTAATATTCGCCGACCAAACGTTTTCTATTTATAAACATGATATTTTACGATAATGGAAAGGCAGTTATTGAGTTTTCAAAAGCAGCCCATTCCTTTGCATATTACTTCTATTCTAATTGTTTTAAAAGTCAGTAGAACACTAAACACCTTAAAGTGTGCAAAAGCACATATACTTGACTCAGAGCAACCTAAGCTTCAATTTCACAACAAGGGTGAGAAATGACACGTGGAAAACAAAACTATGATAATATTCTGCAAAGTAAGTCTTTGCGTGTGGTCAAAAGATAGTTTTTTTTTATTATAATATGTCTTACCATAACCTACTTTTATGTCAAGTTTCTTTGATACTATCTGTCTCGTATACGCATTAAAATTTTTGTCAAACGATCTTCCTTAGTTTTATTTTTTCGGTAGTACTTCGTGCTTAAAAGTCCAAATAGTTCCCGAACCACCCCATTAGTTTCGGAAGCTATCAAATAGTTTATTTTAAACATCTCGTAGTTCACGATTTAATATCACCAGCCACGAAATCTATATCAAGGGTTTCCAAACTGGAGATGTAGGAATGCGTTCATGGAGGCCGTAGCAAATATACGAAATTCACAGCAGTGTTATCTATACAGGCTCATTTGGTGAAGCCCTTAGTCAGGATGCATAGAGTTTGGGAGCCTTTGATATCAGGAAACAAGGGAAGAGATTCTACTCATTCGTTCAATATTTGTTTGTTTTTGAATTTCGCGCAAAGCTACACGAGGGCTGTCTGCGCTAGCCGTCCCT